AGTATATTAAAATATAAAATATTTAAAAAATACAAATTATTTTAAAAATATTTTTATTTTTATTAAAATTTGATGTACCAATCTTATTGCACCGGACCATATAATAATACAAATTATAAAAAATCTAATTAGGAATTTAGAAATTTGAATTAAAAATTTATATGATACAAATTATCTATAAATAATAATATATTATATGTTTTAAATTTTATAAGCTTCTCAACTAGAAAATTAATCCAAATTTAATTCACAAATATGATTAAAATATAATATTTGTGTAATATTTGTGGATTAATTTTGGATTAATTTTCTAGTTGAAGAGCTTATAAAATTTAAAACATACAATATATTATTACTTATAGATGAATTGCAACATATCAATAATTCAAATTTTTTGTCAAACTAAGTTTTTTTATTGAAATATATATAAATACAATACAAAATTTATTATTACAATTCATAAAAAATACAATAAATAATTATTATTAATTATAATTCTTTTGGAACAAAGTTTTTTATAATTATCACTTTTATCAGAATTGTTTTCAGTATTGTTAAAAGTATTCAATTAAACATAATAAGCTACCCCATATTTTTAATTGGATATATAAAACTATATGTCCAATTCCAACTAAAAAACCATTGAACATATAGTGACTCACACAAGAAATGAAACACATGATCAAAACTCTCTAGAATTTTTAGCTTCATCAATATTAGTTCAAACAAAATATAAAAAGTACTCATTTTGAATTACGAGATCTAGTATTTTTTAAAAATATTTTGATAACAAATTATTTTAGTCAATTTTGTAAAACTGGTAATTTAAATCAAAATTTTCAATTAGTAAATTTCTCACATTGAAGAAATTTTTTTCTATGACGGATCTAAATTTGGATCACTAATTAAGAATGTTATGCTCTAACAAAATCCGCCTGTGTACCAATTTCACAAAAATTAGCTCAGAATTTAAGATCCTGGAGGTTCAAATCTCTGTTAGCAAATAAATACTCCTAGCAGAGATTCGAACCTTCGGGATCTTAAATTTTGAGCGAGTTTTTGTGAAAATTGGTACACAGGCGGATTTGTTAGAGCATAACGATAACATTTTCCAAATTTGGATCCGTCATAGAAAAAAAAGTTCTTCAATGTGCGAAATTTACTAATTGAAACTTTGATTTAAATTACTCAGTTTTACAAAATTGACTAAAATAATCTGTTAACAAAAAATACTAAGGTCTTGTGCTTCAAAATGAGTACTTTTTTATTTGGTTTGGACTGATATTGACGAAGATAAAAATTCTAGAAAGTTTTGCGAGTCAACTGTATATAATTGACAACACTGATCGTCTTTATATTTTTGTTAAAGTGCTTATAATTATATATTTGATAAAAATAAATAATGTCAAATTTTTAATTTTTATTACAAAGATACAGGTTTTTGAATATAAATTAAATTTGGAGTATGAGTTGTCAACCTGGGTATAATATTAGCTAAATAAACCGAATAGGTCCGGGGAGGTTAGTAAAAATTTTGAAGTTTGTTTTATCAAGTTTACTATGTTTTTAGCCGAAGTTTACATAACTAATAAAATTTGAGCTTCGATTTATCAAATTTTTCATCGAGTTTCACTTGTATCACAGTCAAACCTGGATATAAAAAAGTGAAATTCGGTTTATCGAGCAAATTTGATTTATTTATTATCACGGTAACTGTTCCTGGAATCAACTCCAGTATATCAAATTTTAATTAGTGCTTCATTATTTCGGTTCCCAGTAGCCCAGGTCTGGGAAAACTGACATTTCGGACTCAAATACCGGCGATTACTAGAGCGAGACAACTTGACACATTTAAAAAAAAGTCGTAATCTACACATTCTCTTGTTAAATCAGCTTATTAACTTTGCACAAATAAGAATTATAAATAGATAAATGCATTCCCAAAGATATTGTCACATAGTTTACTAATTTGTTTTGTTTAACCGAATAACCCCCCCCCCCAAAATTACGAACAGAATGTAAGTACAGTTCGGGTCTTAAAAAATCCGGAGTATTTGGCAAAAAAAAATAGATACACATATACAGAAAAACTGTCTTTGCTGTAATAAGGCTAGCAAATTTAGTTATCTGTTTAATGTAAATTGGTAAAGTTATGCATTTGTATTTCCGGTTTAAAAACTTGTGACAAATCAAATTGTCACGCTTAAAAGTTTTTATTTTATGCGTCACAACAACACGGTTCATAGTCTACACGCCAAAATCGGGGAACTGAGCTGTCATTCAGGTCTCTTGTAAATTGGGATCGGGCATAGATTGAGAACTGATGCGGGTTTTAAACTCATATATTCATATATTCACACATTCATTGTAAAGATAGAATTTGAATAAAAATCGCTTTTTTAGGGTCGTAACATATATTGTGTCTTATGTATATACGTATAACATATACGGTGAGTCATAACTTACCTGTGGTAAACCTATATTACGTAATATATGTCACGACCCTTATCATATATATATTTGTAACAAAAAATTTAGTAGCATAAAAATTATTTTATAATTTCTAATTAATATACGTATGCAGGAGAATAAATTGGTGTTTTAAAGTCTGTCGCAAGAAAAAGATAAATCATACTTTTGAATTAGGTATAATATTTTACAATATAGCCATGTAAAAATTCCCCGATTCGGTTGCTGAAGATTTGATAACGATCCGGGTTCTGACATCCAAAATTCCGGATTTTCAGATCCAGGAACCCGGAAAATTTGGATTTCAATTTGGATTTTGGCCAGCATTAAGAAATTCACACCAAAGCATGTGACTAATAAACAATTTGATATTGCAAATAATGTGATTTATAGCTAATCAAATCATTGTAATCATATGATTTTATATTGTTGAAACTGAAAATATTTGAAATATTTGACTAACCTCAAAAAATTTAGATCACAATTTTCCGGGTCCCTGGATCCAACCGAATCGGGAAATTTCCTAATTAGAAGTTCTGGTGTAAACTCGGGTACTTTCCCTATATAGCTCGAATAAAATAATTATCTGTAGTTGAAAAGTAATTTTATACGCGCGTTTGAAGAAACTGAAGAAAACAAGAATCGGCCTAATCGATGCACCTCTTTTTTTTAATTATTTTTCTTCAGATCATTCTAAATTTACAATGAATAATTTGTCCTGTAAATTATTAAAAAGGTGACCGATCTAAGTTTATTAGTGATCATCGGCCCCGTAATTTTCATTTATGAATTATTTAAGTACATATCCAACATATGTGTTACAAACATAGCGAATTGACACAAAAAACGCCGAATAAACTACGTATGTATTATTTATTTACTATTAAAAACTTGGTATATGAAATTTATGTTTGTGGTGCTGGTGTCGGAAAATGCCATTTGAATGTTAGCACTCGAGTTTTGAGAGTGGGGTACTAGCACTCGAGTTATAGTATACGGATGTGAAATATTAACATGAGTACTCGAGTTTAATGAGATAAATTCACTAGAAAAACCCGAGTACATCAGTTTGACATGAATGGGCGTAGAATGGGAACTCGTGTCCTCGCGAAAAATTATGACATACCAAAGTAAAAACAACTGGGTCCTTGATGCGTATATTATTACTCGAGTTGAATGAGAACAGTCGTTGACTGAGAACTAGATGATAGTGCGAGCACCGTGAAAATTTTTAAAAAATCAAATACGGGGACAACGTACACGAGCAAAGAATGCTTTTTATACCGTATCTACAATCAAACAATCAAAAAAATTTATTTATTATTTAAAAATAAATAAATTATTAAAGTACTCGTATTTACTATAAAAAGTATTTACTATAAATATCAAGATAAAGCCAACGAATGTAAAAACCTGTAAATATTAAGATAAAGCCAACGAATATAAAAAGTTAACGAATATAAAAAACCCAAATAAAAAATTTTTAGTACGGTTATTTGCGCTCTATCAATTACGCGCCAACTGTATATTCTCAAATAAAGTAAGAAATAAACAAATATTTATGATTCCAAAAAGAAAAAAAAATATAATACTAAGTTTTAGTTTTACATGAGTAGCAGATATATTTGATTTGTTCGAATTATTATTGTGAGTTACTGGAAAAATCTGAATCATTTTCTATACATTTTCGTTTGATAATACCTTATTTTCACCAGAAATGATTAAATTATAATGAAAAGTGGTCAGCTTGATAAAAAATGATTCATTGGTTATATTCTGTATTATCACTTGGCAAGTTTAATTGATCTACCTATATTAATGGACGCGTCCAAATCCAACTTAAGATTATCAACATTTTCAAAAAACTACACAGTAACTCTCTTTATAGTGTATCAAAAAAATCTATCAGTAAAAAATTGTCAAAAATCCACTATATCGAGAGTTTTTGAAAATTTATCAGTAAATTTATTATATTGAGTGGATTTTATTAGAGCAGTTTTGGATATTCTCCACTATATCGTGAGTTTAATTAGTCTCCACTATAAAGGGGGTACACTATAAAAGAGAGTCACTGTGTGACGATAATCAATAGAATAAAAACTATCGAATAGACGCGTTTTTGTAGCAATGGTGCATTGTCTTGTAAACAAAAACATTCGAATATTAACTAAGTATTCTTTTAGTTCCCATTTAATTTAATAATTTACGCAAAAATATTTCATCAAAGTATATTACCTATTAAAACAATGCGCATACGTTTATTAAATTATGCACTATACTTTTCTATATACGTACATTTTTAAAAAAAATCAATTTTGTACAAAAAATGAATCATCTATTATATTTATTTTCTATTTACTAACAAATGTTTATTTAACTGGTGCAAATCCAACGGCAAGCTTTTCAGTATCATAGACACTATACACGTTTTTAAGGAAAGTATCACCGACTAACCATTGGTTAGCTCCACCAATATTACCGCCAGTAATACCAGAAACACACATATCATTTTGGTTTGTTCGTTCACGAACAAGATCTTTTAGTGAGATTTTATAGGCAACTCCACCGAAAGTGAGAGAAACGACAGCCTTAGTGTTGCATGGGACATAGTATTCACCTTGTTTATAAACGGCACCTTTAATTGCTTTGTGGATAGCAGCAGCGTCATCGGGAGGGGCGATGAGAAGAGTCGTGCCAGTGTCAATGACGGCAGTCTTTTTGCTGAATCTAAGAGGCTTGTCGTCAACGCTAGCATCATCTAAAGCGATTTCCCAGAAACCATCTTTACCCACGAGTTTATTATATTTGAGTTGGCCAGTAAATTTTGAGGAATCAACACCACCAAGTGTTAATTGACTGTCGCTGCCATCTTTTTTACGTCCAAGGAAGAAACCAAAAACTGGATCTTTAACGGCTTTTTGTTCAACAAGCTGAGTGAAAGGTGTTTTTGCGTTTTGTGAGCTCAATTTATCAAGTCCCATTCCGAGAATTCCATCAGATTCATCTGTCTTAAAGTCATCTGACATTTTTGTTGAGAGTCCAAAAGTTTGTCCTTTTGACATAAAACCAGCAATTGAGACATCATCTATTGCAATAAATCCAGAAACTGCACCAGTACCATATTCAAGCTTAAATGGCTTATTATCGGTTTTAAATCCTTTGCTCTTCTTCGGATTATAAGATTTGTGAACTTTGCAAGCTGCATCAGTACATTCTTGTGCCGGCACCCAAAGATCAGATGAGCCAGTATCGAAAATTACATTAAATGTTTGTCCTCCTATTTTAATTGGGCCGTGATATCCTATGTCAAACCCTTCAACTTTAAGTGGATTATTTGTTACATCATCCGTTTTTCCTTTATTTTTCTTTCTTATAAATTGTTTTGGGGCAGTGGGACCAATTAAGGAAGTGATGGCTGCTTCTAAAACTTGAATTGCTTCATGTCCGACTAAACCTTTACTGTATGCTGCTTTGATGTTATCGGCATACTTCGCAAATGCATGATTTTTTATCATTGTTGAAATTTGAAGCCCACTATACAATTCGGAAGGGTCTGTTTTTCTCAATAAGATTGTATGTGCAGGTGATTTAATTGGTGCTGTGTCAATTGTTAGAAACGCTGTTGCCATGAACAAAGCCGAAATTTGTAGAATCTTCATGTTGCAAGTTTTTTATAAAATGGTAAAGAAAGTATTTGATAATGTAATGTCTAATATTAATATAAAGCTTCGGTGTTTTTAAAGTTATGAAATGTTTTAATTTCGGTATAGATGCAATTACAACTAGATATAGAAACCTGTCTATATCAAAGAATGTAAAATTATCCAAGAGTAAAGGAAGGAAGGGAGGAAAGAAAGAAGCTTTCTAGATTAACGAGTCGACTCGGTCGAATTTGCAACAAAAACCATTTCAACTCGAAACGAAGCTTCATTTTTATGAGCAATTGTTCTATATGCCGCATGCATACATTTTGAAAATAGCATTTTTATAAACGATTTTGGCCGCTTAAGCCACTCAACAATAACTCAATTGGTCCATTGGCCAAATAATCCAATTTTTAACTATTGGTGAATCAACACACATACTGTATCTCACATCCAACTGTGAGCTCCTTACAGCTATGCGTGCAACTCCTGTATTACATGTAAAAAAAGTTGATAAAATTACGTGTTTCAACTGCAATGATTTTCCTTGTATAGAAATATAAGCATGTTCTTTGAAGCTCTATTTAGCATAATAAAAAGCTTAAGATACAAATTTCGTCAATTAACCATTGTGCTTCATAACAGAAATAATCTGTAGACCTAGAATCTTATTGTATAATACAGTACTTTTAATCCGTGTACGTATATGATGTTTAAAAATAAGCAAGGTAAAACATGAGATTCTTATTGAATTAGTTTCGTTTGTTTAATAAATAAAAACATTACAATTTAAATTTAAACAATTATGAGTTATCGTTATTGTGAAAAGATGCAATTAGCAATTTTACTAATAAACTCTCGATATAGGATGCCCTGTACTATAACAAGAGTAACTTGCATCGTTAGTTTGTAAATTTACTATAACGAGAGGATTTATTATAGACTGTTTTGGACTGAACTTTACTATATCAAGATTTTAATTAGTTTTTACTATAACGAGAGTGACTTGTATTTCTTTTTGTGGAAAAGATAATATTTATTAGTAATATTATCTGTCATTTGTTATTCAACAGTCGCGTACGCGTCAATAGAGAATATAGATTCGAATAGAAAAATTTTGCGGTTAGCGATATTAAAGTTATCGTTTGAAAAATATACGCATACGTAATTAATTTAAGACTATTATTCTAAACGAAAATTTTGTACAATCTAAGGATAAAATTCAATTTACCCAAAATCTAAAATACAATAAATTTATATAACTAAAAGATTTAATCGGAAACGAACTGAATAATTAAATTGTCGTTTCGAAAGAAAAATTTATTTAATTGGTGCAAATCCAACGGCAAGCTTTTTAATATCGTAGGCACTATACACGTTCTTGAGGAAAGTATCACCGACTAACCATTGGTTAGGTCCACCGATATTATCGCCAGCAATACCAGAAACACACAGATTATGTTGGTTAGTTCTTTCACGAGCAAGATCTTTTGGTGAAATTTTATAGGTAACTCCACCGAAAGTGAGAGAAACGACAGCCTTAGTGTTGCATGGGACAAAGTATTCACCTTGTTGATTAACGGAGCCTTTAATTGCTTTGTGGATAGCAGCAGCGTCAGCGGGAGGGACGATGAGAAGGGTCGTGCCAGTATCAATGATGGCAGTCTTTTTGCTGAATCCAAGAGGCTTACCGTTAACGCTAGCATCGCCTAAAGCAATTTCCCAGTAACCATTTTTACCCACGAGTTTATTATACTTGAGTTGACCAGTGAATTTTGTGGAGTCAACACCACCAAGAGTTAATTGACTTTTATTTCCTCTGCCATCTTTTTGACGCCCAAGGAAGAAACCAAAAACTGGATCTTTAACGGCTTTTTGTTCAACAAGCTGAGTGAAAGGTGTTTTTGCGTTTTGTGAGCTCAATTTATCAAGTCCCATTCCGAGTATTCCATCGAATTTTGCATTTGTAAAAAAGTCAGACATTTTTGTTGATAGTCCGAAAATTTGACCTTTTGCCTTAGCACCAGCAATTGAAATGTCATCTACTGCAATAACGCCAGAAACTGCACCAGTACCGTATTGAATGTCAAATGGCTTATTATCGGTTTTGAATCCTTTGCTTTTTTTTGGGTTAAAAGCTTTATGGGATTTGCAAGCTGCATCAGGACATTCTTGTGCTGGCACCCAAATATCAGATGAACCAGTATCGAAAATTACATTGAATGTTTGTCCTCCTATTTTAATTGGTCCGTGATAACCAATATCCATTCCTTCATCTTGAAGAGGATTGTTGATGGGTTTTCCCTTTTTTCCTTTGCTTTTTTTGGATCCAGTATCGCTGGTACTATTAGTTTTTCCTTTCTTATAGTTAACATCAATGAGGAAAGTTTTCGGAGAGGAATCACCAAACATTGGAGTGGAAGCAGCTTCTAATTTTTCGATGGCATCTTGACCAACTAAACCCTCACTAAAGGCTTTTCGAATATTCTTCCTATATTTCAATAGTGCACGGTTTATATTAATTTTCGACTTTTCAAGCCAAGTAAAATAATCGGGTAAATCATCTTTCGCCAATTCGATTGAGACTACGGGTGATTTCGAGGTCGGTGCTGCATCGGCGGTTAACGAGATAGCTGCCACCAAGAGAGTTAATGCTGTAAAAATCTTCATTTTTTTTATATTGCTTCTTAATTCGGGCGAGTATATTGAAGATTTGTTTAGGAGTGCGGAAAAGATGTTCGAAGATTACAATAAGATACAGAAACCAGTCTGTATTTTAAAATGTAATGTATATAGAAGGAAGGACGAAATGAAGTCTTTCTGGTTAACAGCTCTTGTTTGAATCTGCGACAAAAAAACCAATTGAACGAAGGACGCGGCTTTTATACATTTGTGCTATTATTTTTTCGTTGTTGATCTTTCGAGTAGCACGCGCGTTCGGCTAGTACTTATGGCACGTTAACATATATTATTTGTTGAACAAAATTTTACGAATGCGCTATTGACATAACAATATACCGATACGTATTATTTAACATATATGCATTCAATTTTAACATGCACGATTGTACTATATTACGTATTGGTTGAACTATTGTATCGGTATTGTATTATTATGAAGATCAAACATTAGAACTAATATGATTTCTAGTTTTGGAGAACAAAGTTATTTGTGGGCTTGTGGGGTATTAATACGAATATGAAAAAATTCTTTGAATGCTAAGTTTGCAAAACAAACAATACTACTGAAATAATTTTGTTTGATCATATGGTAGAATTAGAAGTTACAAGTTTCAGACTATTGGTTTCTTATTTCGTGTGACACGTGAGACACCAAGAATTCGCCGCATGGGGCAGCACTTTAGTAAAGTCACATTTTTTGATACCCGAAAAATAGTCAAAACCGGGTATAAGGTCCAAGCTCGTTATATAGTAATGGAAAATCGTGCATTTTATTATAATCGGAAATTTGGCAAAAGTTCGCAATAACCAAATCTCGCTATATAAATAATAGGAATGTAGAATTTAAAGATGTATTCTATTCAGCACTATAATAAATCATGTGATTTTTAAAGTTCATCAATACGATCACTTAGCGTTAGGTGATGCACACCTAGTCTTTATTCAATAAAAACTTGTAATCAATCTTAATCTTACGTGATACATATCGATAACCTTATAAACCCCTTCCAAACTTGATTTACAGGAAGAAGCTACAACTGGTGCAAGGATCTTATACTAGTGCAAGGTAAAATAATCTCACACCTAATTTCATGACTTGCACACGTATACATATATTTGCCGTCCAAAATAAGTGCAACACATAGGACACCCCAAATAATTATAATAATTCCAAGTTTAGTCGCGCGAGTCGATTATCTTAAAATCGTGGCTAAAACTTTGCAACAGAATAAAGTATATATCTATCTATCTATCGAGAAAAAAATTATCAAATGAAATGGCAATCTTTGTGTAGAATTGTATGTATTTAAGAGTAAAACTAGAAATCATCAGCTAGATATCTGTCTTCGTCAATATATGAGGTTAGCACAGTACGTTCGGCGAATTTTCGACCTGCTAGAGCGCGAAGCGCGACGCCAGTTTCTTCAATACGTTCGTATCGCACAAATATCTGCAATGAATGGGAAAAGAACAAGACGAAAAGATTCGTATACAAAAATAATGCATATCACACGTAAACGTATAACAATAATAAAAATGGCTGCTCAGGGATATATAAAAAGATATATATGCGTGCGTTAGTAATATATACCTTTCCGATGCCTGCCATTAATCCGGTTTGTGTTGGACGAGGAATTTTCATGTCAACTATTTTTCCATATTTCGAGCATTCTTCATGGACATCATCGAAAATATCTAATATTAGTAAAAAGGAAATATTCTTAGGTATATTTTTATGATTACGATCATAGGAAACATAGAAATCATTAATAAACATGCCTGCGTATTCATCATCATCTATTAATTCCTCTGGTGTGACCATATTTAATAGTTGCAAGATCCTAGTAGGTTGCATCTCTCCGTTATTTGCGGGAATAAGCAAAGAAGGAGGTAATGAAGTTATAGCCACTCCTGTATTTTTAGTAGAACCAACACTTGCACGCTGTACAACTAATTTACGATCTCCTAATTCCATATTGTTCAATCCTTGACATGCTAAATCAGTGACAGTTGGATCCACGTATTCACAAAAAGCAAAGCCCTAACAATAAAGGAACAATTTTGAATATAAATATTTTAAAGCAAAAATTAGCCGTAAAGAAGGTATTCCGAAAAAAATTTTACTTTTGAAACACCGGTTAAACTGTCTTTGACCAAATTGAAAGCTCTCAATTCTCCAAAAGATTTTAAGAGCTCTATAACTTGCTCGTCGTTTAGATATGTAGGAAGTCCGCCAATAAATATTTTGTGTGGACTATCAGGAACATTCGTCGACACTACACCAGGTACGTGAATGGGCGGTGGTTCTTGATCGTGACCTGGAGGAGCTTGGTAATCTTTAGGACGACGAATTTTCAAAGATTGCCCTTGGAAGGTAATTCCATCGAAGGCCATTGCTGCTGTGGCTTCTTCAGGTGCACGAAACTACAGATTTTATTGATTAATTGGAAATAGTGACTAACGTAATTCTTAAAAAATTGTGATAATAAAATACCTCGACAAATGCATAATTTTTATCATGATTTATTTGTACTGCAATAACTGGGTCACCAGGTGAAGTTGTAATATTCAGTTGAATCATAGTCGAATTGAAGAATTCAGATAATCCACGCTAAATATGAAATTCAAACTAAATAAAACTGAAAAAAATTCAACTAATTAAATTAAATAAAAGCTTACCTCGTCAATGCCATAAGGAATATTACCCACATAAAGACGCCTTGCTTGCCTTGCAAGTGAAGCTGTTTGTGCCACAGGACCAGCTGCACCTTGGCTTACTTTGGGTCTTGGCGGTAACTCATGAGTCATTCCCATCATTAAAGCAGCACGAGATGGATCCATTCCGGGAATATGAATTAACGGAGTTTCTGGGGCACTTGGGGGTTTCATCGTTGCACCTACAGCAGCTTGACCTGGTAAAGGAAAGTGGCCTACAAAATAAAGAATAGATTAATAAAGGATATGACTATTTGATTATTAGTATTCGGATATACCTGTCGCTTTAACTTGTTCAGACGTCATTCCTTCATAACCTGGAGGAGGTACATCCCAATTATTTAATTTCCTAACACGTTTATTTATTGGAGTTACCGAACGAGATCGTGAGCGATATCTTGAGGTTGGACTATATCTTCTTAGACTAGGACTACGACTTTTTCTTCTTGAGCGACGTGATTTTCGACTTTCTCTATCACGGTCATCTCTATCGTCACGAGTTCTGCGACGTTCACGACTACGATCGCGACTTCGCTCACGACTTTTACCTCGATCTCTTTCGGATTCTTTACGCCTAGTACTTCTATCAGCATCACGATCTCTTTCTTTCTCCCGTTCTCTTTCTCTCTCCCCCCTATCTTTGTCCCTTTTTCTTTCATGGCGCTCACGATACTCGTCCTCTCGACGTCTTTGATCAGGCGAACGATCTCGAAAATAAGACGTTGTTTCAATTTTAATATCTTTCATGACGACATCTTGATTGCTGCTACTGTTATTATTGAAGTTCTCTGGGTAATAAGGAACTTCGGCTGAAAGTGCCGAGAAGACCGTTTTTTACAATCGATTATGCAAAAATAGGAGGATAAAAAGAAGAAAATTGATTGATGTTTTATTAGTATGTCCTGAAAGAGAGATTATCAGTAGTAATAGTAATAGCTTAGAAAAGCCATTCATTGTCCTTGGATGATGATAATTATTCATAGAGATCGGTTAAGCTGTGCTGAAAATTTTTAACAAGAAAAAATAATTTTGAGAGAAAATATAATATAACACAATATTATTATTATTATTATTGTTATTGTTATAAGACTTGTTATTTTATAGTAGAAGAGTAGTAAGTAACACAATGAGATGAATAGCTGATAAGGTCGATGATGCTAAGCTGCAATGTTTTTAGAAACAAAAATACAAAAACAATTTGGTTTCTAGAGGTTTGTAATTAAAAAAAAAAATAAAAAAGAGGGACTTGCAAAAACATAAGTAATTAAATTTCGTAAGATTAACCACCTGTACTTGGAGGTCCCATAGCACTAGAGGAGGCACCAGCAACATTCTGTTGAGAGTAGTCATATGGAATATAATCATTCTTTTCACGCCAGTAAATGTCCAAGTTCCCCGGAGTTTGCATTTTTTGGTGTGTTCTTGAAGGAGTCAAGAAATCAAAAATTTGAGTGTTCTTGTAACCAGGGTGAGTTTTTGTATGAGTAAGGGAAAATTGTTTGTTTATTTTTAACACGGTTCATATATGTTCATGTGTGACTTAAGTCACATGAATTTCTAATGTACGTATGTACCTTCATTATCATGAAGGATGAAAATTTGATAGAGGATAAAAGTTGAATTTACAAGACAAAAATTCAATACTTCAACGGGTCAAAGTGAATACGCTATTCATTCACAAGGTAAGTAAGCATTAAAAGACCCAATTCTCTCAAAACCATAGAAAAGCCCATCCCGCACACATCAATAAACCGCCTAACGGCGCAACCGGGGCCAAAATTCGAGAAGCCCTCGCTTTATCTGACAAGACCTTCAGATATAAGGTTCCTGAGAACATTGTAGTCCCGACGGTCATCAAAGTTCCAGCAAGTAATGGAGGTCGATCAGTGATCGGGTGACGCGCGTTAGAAAGGTAGAGAATGGCGAGAGCATGAATGAATTGGTAGTTCACGGCTGTTTGCCAATTCTGGAATTGTTTAGGTATGTAAGTTATGAGGAAAAGACCTTTTTGTTTGATAACTAAGAAGAGAGTTTTACGGTGACCAATTGTACCTTTAGCAATGCAGGATCGACTTTCTTTAAACCATGGCTTCCTATGGATTTGCGGGAGATTATTTGCATTTCATCAATTAATCATGCATCAATTTAAAAAAAGAAAAGAAATCCAACCGTAAGTTCCAAGTAAAATCCCAGTCGAACCTAAAAGAATCATAAATAGATGTTATTACCCAAAAATGTATTTTCCACACTTTACATGCATACGCTTTTTTGATTGATATACTTACCCAATGTCGCACCAACTCTCCATAAAGACAACGTAGAAAATACTGTCAGCATCGTTATTCTAGTAAACAAAGGCGATGGACCCACGAGATAATAACGTAATGTTTATTAGTTCCTGCCACATGATTTCCATCGGAGATTGGAGATTAGTAGTACCCGATTCGGTCGATTCTGTTATTAATTGACATTCAATATATAGCAATAGTGATTTCCGTCATCTATATATAAAGTCATCATTTTAACCACCAGAATGATCAATCGGTCAATTTTAAAGATTTCAATTTTTGTAATTGTTATTTCGATTATATTTAAACTTTTTAATCTTTATCAATTAGTTTATTCTCCTTCTTATTCATCTTTTTCTAACTTGAAAAAAAAAATGCCTGATACAGCAACTACTGTGACATCTTTCTATGATCTCGAAGCACTTGATAAACGTCAACATGTGTTCAAATTTTCAGATCTAAAAGGAAAAGTAGTGTTAATTGTTAATACAGCATCCAAATGCGGATTCACACCACAATTCGCTGGTCTTGAGAAATTATATCAAAAATATAAGGATAATGGATTGGTGATTTTGGGATTTCCAAGTGCTCAATTCAATCAAGAATTGGATAATCAAGAAGGTTAGTATCGTAATTTTCTTTTATCTAAATTTATATAATTTTCTCACGTACTTATTTCTATATAAAACAAAATAGCAATCACTGAATTTTGCCAAATAAATTATGGGGTTACGTTTCCAATAATGGCTAAAGTCGAAGTAAACGGTAATAATGCCTCCCCAGTATACAATTATCTTAAAAGTCAGAAGGCAGGGTTAATGGGACTTCGACGCATCAAATGGAATTTCGAGAAATTCTTGGTAGATCGTAATGGTAAAGTTGTACAACGATATGGGAGTATTTCCAAGGTAATTCATTGTTTGTTAATAACCATCCCATATATTTTCCGGGAGAAAGAATTGCTAATAATCCTTTCCTTTTGCTTATATTATAAATAGCCTGAAGAAATCGGAAAAGATATAGAACCACTCATCCATCCATCCACATTATAATACAAATTAATTTTAGTTCATTATAGATAGAATTCTCGTGACTTGTAGAATAATGTTTTTGTTACATGTGATCACACGAGTACACGACATCTTGCATAACTTATTGTGAGAACATACACATGCTTGGCTTTTATCCTTTTTTTTTTTTACAAATAAGAAATAAAATAGAAGTAACAACGATAAAAATAACGCGGTGTGTTCAATGATTATCGAAAGATTCTTTTATTCCAAACATGTTAAACATCAAAGTTATTTATCAATCGACAGCACGTAGATTCACAATTCAAGACTCTGAAAAAATTACTTGGTCAGAATTCGAGAAACGTACTCGTAATTTATTCAATCTACCCTCTTGGACTCAATTCACTCTTTCGTATACTGATGAGGAAGGAGATAATATCACTTTATCTACGGATTTTGAACTTGAAGAAGTGATTAATGACCATATTCACAATAAAAATAATAAAAAGAACAATTCTTTGAAATTTAATGTAAAAACAATTGACAATAATCACAGCAATGATGATAATCAGATTAATATAATATCGGATACTTTTGGAATCGATGAAGTTCCTTCGTTCGCGCGTGATAAAAATGAAGCCTCTTCGTTCGCACGTAATAAAAAGAAAGATGATGTAGTATTGGAAGAAGAGGAAGTAGATGAATTTGTCAATATTGAACCCACTTTTCATCCCACAATTACAATTGGCGTTGAACAAAAAGAAAAAGAACCTATCAAAGAAAATTCTAGTAAAGATAATGCTATTAATAAAAAAGAATCCAATATAGAAAAAAGGTCTAAAGATAACAAATTTGAACAATTGCCTCCTCCGGTTCCATTACCATCACAAGATCAACAAGCTTCTGTAACAGCTCTTGCACAAGAATTTCAAATTCTTTTGGATCAAAATCAACCATATATATTAAGTAATCCACGATTGCTTAAAAAGACTGATAAAACAATGGCCAAAATTCTTCAAAATCGAGAAGTTGATATAGATTCCTGGCGACAATTGTTTAATTCCTTAGGCAAAAAGGGAAAGGGAAATGATAATATTGAGAATAACAACAATAATAACAATTATAATAATAATAATAATTACAATAATAATAATAACAATTATAATAATAATAATAACAATTATAATAATAATAATAACAATTATAATTATAATAATAATAACAATAACAATAATAATAATAATAATAATAATAATAATAACAATTATAATAATAATGATAATGATAATAATGATAATTACAATTATAATCATAGTAATTTTAATAACAATAATAATAATTTTAACAATAACAGCAACAACAATAACAATAACAACAACAACAATAATTATAATAATCTTAATAATAACAACAACAATAACAACAGCAGCAACAATCGTCCTTGGGCAGATACTTTTACATCTCTTTGGCGAAATCATGATGCTGATAATGGTACTCAAGGATCGGGAGCAGGAGGTGTAAGCGGTGGTGATAATAATAACAATAATAATAATTATACATATAATGAATATCCTGGTAAAGTACATCAAGAGCAAGATTACTCACATGAACTTTCGCCAAATGCAATTAATTCAATATTAGATGCATTAGATGCGATGGGATTCGGAAACGATCAACAAAATAAAGAGCTGTTGTATATGTATAATGGAAATGTGGAATCGGTGGTTGAAGAATTACTTGCTAAACGCGCAGAACATTAGAAGTAAACGTCAAATCGGATATTGAGTGTTGTATAATTAACGAACATTTTTTTCTACAATGTATAGATTACGCAGTTTTTTGTGTATGAAAATCAATAAAGATGAATGTACTTTGTTGAATGAAAATTTTATCCACGATCGATTTTCCCTTCATGTGATTTTATGATACGATTTTCCAAGCCACAACAATTACCCGAAACATTCCGCACTATTAAAGGTTAGGGTTAGAGCTGGAGTAGTTATATGTAAAATTGTCTTCCGTCATTTTTTATTAGTGCTAAAAGTTAGGTTTAAGCATATATTCCCGTTTTTTTGTTGAAAAATTTGCCCATCCTTATTGGTTTCGAGATCGTCAGGGATCGGAAAAATCACGTGAAGGGAAAATCGATCGTGGGTGAGCTGGAGTAGTTTAAATGAATTGCACAGTATTCCGTTTTATTATCACCAAATTGATCTAATTACATGCATGCTAAGAAAATGGAAAGCTCAAAAATCGAGTCTATTGTGCCTCTACTTGAGATAACTCATGAAAAGCCAGGTCCTCCAGCTGCACCCATTACCATTGCTGTTGTTGGTGCTGGTCAAAGGTTTTTATCTTGATAGTAGTTCGGCTAAAATCTAAAAATAATTTATTTCTTATATATTTTACACGAAATAGAGGTAAAGGGTATGCCTACTATTCTATAGCACATTCTAAATGGCTTAAAGTGGTTGCAGTGGCTGAGCCGAATGATTTTAGAAGGAAAAATATGAAAGAGGTTGATTTCTTATGAAAATTTATAAGCATACACTTTTTTTAATTATCAAAATATAATGAATTTTTAGCGATATTTAATTCCAGACAAGAATGTATTCAATGACTGGCGTGATGTAAGATTCTTTATAATTGTCCATAATTTATTTAGTGATTTGAGAAATAATATTTTATGGATATAATTAATTAGTTAGCTAGCCGACCTAAACTATGTGACGCGGTGATAGTTGCTACTTTGGATAATATGCACACAGAACCAGCAATAGCTTTCGCTAATCTTGGATATCACATTCTTTTGGAAAAACCAATGGCTGTCACACTTGAAGATTGTCGCTTAATTACCGAAGCTGTTATTCAAAACGAGGTAATTTAGATAATATCAATATTTTGGGAACATCAATTAATTTACAAGATTTTTTTATGCGTTCATATCCAAGACTTTCGATCTCTAATTTCAATTTTTGATAGATTACCTTTGCTGTGGGTAAGTAAATCAACCAAGGCTTATATATTTTATTGCCATAAACTCAATTGTGAGTATATGTAGGTCACGTGCTTAGGTACACACCTCATAATATACTTATTAAACGTATCATCGAATCTGGTATCCTTGGTGATATTGTGAATATTCAACACATGGAACCCGTAGGATTCTGGCATTATGCACATTCGGTAAGAAATTTTTTTTGGGTATAGAAATTATCAGACAGTTGAATTAAATTAGTTCTCATAAATTTACATAGTATGTTCGCGGTAATTGGAGAAACGAAAAAGAAGCATGTTTTTCTTTGATGACAAAGGTAGTGTGTATGACTATATTCCTGTGAATTTTACGTGTAATTGTATTTATCATTTCATTTTTATAAACAATGGTAGTGTTGTCATGATTTAGGTAAATATTATTTGTTAAATAATTCGAAACGACAGTAGTTATTATTAATAAAATTTACCAAAGATCTCTTGGCGCATTGGATGGATTCTCCTTGTATTGTAAGTGTGTAATAATTTAGTTATTATTTTTTATTGTTCTGTTAAATAATCTCTTTAATTCGTCTAGAATATAAGCTCTTTTGGAAACTTGAGACATTTCCGTTCAAGTAACAAGCCTAAGAATGCTGGTGATGCAAAGTAATCTCATTAATGAAATAAAAAATGCAGATTTTCATCTGTTATTAATTAAATGATATTCTTGTTTTTTTTTTTTGATTTAAGGCGATGTTTAGATTGTGCAGCAGAACCTTCTTGTCCTTATTCGGCCAAAAAAATTTATCTTGATCGCGTGAAACGAGGGTATTCTGGATGGCCTATGAGTGTGATAACGGATATTGAAGGTACCTAATTATCTTTTGAACAATAATTTGATACTGCTTGGGCATTCTTTTTACATTTTGATTTTATTATTATAAGATATTGAAAATGTCACCAAAGCTTTGGAAAACGGTCCGTATGGTCGTTGTGTGTATGAATGTGATAATGATGTAGTGGATAATCAAGTAAATATTTTTTGATGAAAACTTTTTTTGATTCGGGGATTTTGTATTTACACGTGTTTCTCTCGACTGATTGAAAAGGTCGTAAATATGGAATTTGAAAATGGTGCAACAGCTTCGTGCACTATGATAGCATTTACTGAATCTATTTGTACTAGAAAGGTTTGTTTATTTTATATTTATATCATATAAACAGAGATGCTTTTACAAGCTTTATTAACAATGTTTATCATTAATTTATAGACAAGGTATATATATCTATTATCGATCAAATTGCTATTAAACTATTAATTTTCTCTATATTATGATTTCATCACTTCGATTTTCTGGTATTTCCCGAAAGAATTTTTGGAACACTGGGTGAACTCGAATGCGACGGTATGGATGAAATACGGTATTATGATTTCTTAAATAATCGTCGTGAAACCTTAACACCAAGTCGTCTTCTTAAAGTACTTGATTTACGAGGTCATGGTGAGTTGCTTTGCGATAATATGCAATTTAGAATAATAATAATAATAATAATTTACACTTAACTTGGATAAGGCGGTGGTGACTTTGGGTTGATGGAATCGTTCACTCGCGAGGTAGCATTACGTGGTAAACGAGATGATAAAAATTTCACCGCGAAATATGTGAAATCTGGAGCATTAGAAACTTTCGGTTTGTATTCTTATTATAGAGGGTTTTATTAATTGAATTTTTCTAAATAAAATTAATTGATTTGTTGTGTATGTAGATTCTCATCTTTATGTATTTGCCGCGGAACATGCCCGTAAAACCGGAAAAGTTGTAAACATTCAAGAAATTAAGCGTGAATTTGGAGTCGAAGATTTTTCTTAATGGGGGTTGTATATTCATACGGAATTTATTTTCATACGGAATTTCTTAAATTTTGTATTTATTTAATTTTATTTATTTATTTATTTATTTATTTAATTTATTAATTCAATTCGATTATATTTATTCGTTATAGAATGTTTAATTTATTAGGCATTCAAAAATCTTGATTATCAATTGATAAGTGTCATTTTATAATAATTTCGAGAGTTCTCATTTGGCTGCTTTGTTCTAAATTCTTTTCAATAGGAATGTGTTGTTTATTATTAGTTAATAGTTCTTGTTATGAAGTATATTCAACAACTAAAAATTGAATTGATCCTTGAAATATGGATCTTTGATCCGCGAGTAGGATGGGACTTGGTCCTAACCAAAATTGACCAACAGTTCCAATTTCGGTTCGATCCACCTTTTTAGGGACCGAAGGCTCCTATATACGCCAAAAAAATGATTTATGCGATTAGAAATTGTGAAGTTATTATAATCCAATTAGAATTTCATATGTAACTTAATTTTCCAATATAGTTGGAAATTTTAATTTATAGTGTTGTGATTAGATATTTTCATAATCACAAACGATCATCTCACATGATCATTTCACATGATCATCTTACATGATCACTTCACATGATCACTTCGAATGATCATTCCAAATGATCATTCCAACCGATCATTTCAAGCACTCCGAATGATCATTGCAAATGATCATTTCAAACGCTCCGAATGATCATTCCAAATGATCATTTTATAATTATCAAATACTTATAAATACAGCTTGTA